CACACCATCCCTGCGTCGGGATAGCGGTGGCGAAACAGCAGTGACGGATGCGCGGGCAGCGGCGGCGCGTGTGGATCACACGCTGTCTTCGAGCGGTGCGTGAGTGCGCGTGCGGCATCTGTTCGGCGGATGCTTCTCGGCGATTTGACTCCTTTGTCTTCCTCCTCTTGGATTTCACCTCGTATACTGAGTTCTACTAAATACGTGGCACTAGACACGCAAAAGTTAGAATAAAAGGAAGAATAAGACAAAAAGAAAAGTGCTACGAAGATTATCGGCGCGTGGGCGCCGATTCCGGGGACGGGGCGATGACGGTGGCGACGGCGGCGGTGGAGAGTGGTTGTGGACGTGTGAAAAAAATGGCTAGGGTTTTGATTGTGTGTGTTATGTTGTGTTGTGCAAGACCTATATATTTTGTATTTATAGTGTCTTTATTCGTTAGTCTTAAGTTCGTTAGTATTTATTCGCTCGTTTCTCACAACTCAATAATTAGAAAATTATAACTATTATATTTTCGGAATCATTGAAACGTCCTCGTCATTACGAATGCCAGTTCTCGATTACCAATTTCTAAAAGTGGAAACCGTAATTCAGTGGACCTTCTAAATTTGAAATTTTCTAATTTAGAAAGTTCACTAAGTCGTTCGCCTAGTTCTTTTACTTTTCTTATTCACATTCATAATTCCAAATTACGAATGTTGGACTCAATCATATTGACTTCCAATTATGCAAAGATTAAACATTTTTATCTTTGACCGTTTATTCAAAGAACTCGAGTACACGAGCAGCGTGACCCTCGATGGTTCAGGTGTAAGCCAGCCGTGGAGGTTTAAACTCGTCCCAGAGTTACAATTATGATGAAGCTCGTTTCAACTTAATCACCTAACAAATCAAGATTGGCGTCTAGCAACTACGCGTCATGATTCCCTAGATACAAATGAAGTGCCGGCAAGAACTTTTTGATATAGTTAACGTACAATACGATACCTTCGATTCATATGTCCCGATCGAACTAGAAGCATTGGTTCATCGAGACCTCCTTTGTAGTTCAATAACTGTGCGATCGTTCTAAGTGTTGTAATCGGTACGTGCATGACTTAGAGAATCGAATTCTCTAATCATCACTTAGTCAGCTCTGGCTAGAGACTTAAAGA